CCATCTCACTTAGAGCGGCAACCTCACCACGTAAAGTAGACACCTCCACACGCCATGCACCATCGTTATCGCGTAGAGTACCGATCTCCTCACGCAAGGCATTGACCTCCACACGCCATGCACCATCGTTATCGTGTAGAGTACCGATCTCCTCACGCAAGGCATTGACCTCATCACGTAACTCCCTTGACTCATCCCGTGGAGGTGGAGAACAGGGAGATAGAAGTCGTGGCATCTTTTCCGGTCGCCTATCATGAGGTGATGGTGGAGAAGAGGCTCGATGATGTGACGGGATAGGTGATGGCTCTCGTTGTAGAGGTGTATAGTCGGGTCGATCAGGTGATGGCTCTGGGTGAGGTGATGGCTCTCGAAGTGGAGGAAGTGGAGGCTGCTCATCATTCGTGCCATCAAGAAAACGCTGACTAGCTTGCCACCAATCAGTGGCAAGCTTAGCCTCCGTGGGTGTCAGTCTCATTAATGGAATGTTGGCCTCCTAAAAATATAAAAACTCAAACAAAGTTAAACGTCTACTATTAATAACTTGTTTATATATGATATTATTTGTGTTAACTTACATTATTTATTGTCGCATATGGTATTAAGTCTTCCCAATCCAACAGACGTTTCCTCTTCCAGGAAATAGCACTGGGAATATCATTTGAAGTTTTTATTGCATATGTCTTCATGGCGGGAAAGGCCTCGAATATCCAAATCTACAAACAATATAATAACAAACATTAGTAATTGTTAAATAATTAATTATAATTTTGAAAACATTATATAGAAATTCTTACCTTAAAGGCCCAAACAAAGCCTGACAAAGTGTATTTCGACCCATCGCCCCGTAAACTTTTGCGGTCATCAAAGGCAGACGACAACTTAGTCCAGGTAGCTTTCCATATATACGAACCCCACGGAAACAGATTCCATGCATTTAGGTCCTCTACCAATAATATTAGCTCCTGAGGAATAGGTTGTCTGGCCTCTCTGCCTAAAAAGCCGGCATACAAAAGTAGTAGAAGGCATACTCGGACAACATCGACGTCATTCATCCGAGTAAAATCATCTTTCTTATTAAACAATTTCTTCATGTCGTCGACATGTAAGTTCGGCTTCTCTATTGACTCATCAGGAAAAACCCTGGATAACCATGATGGGCGGGTGATATGACGAGTGTACCGGCCTACATCATCGTGTCCGAATCGTAGACCAGTGATTAAACAGAACTCCTTCCGCCCAAAACAAGTATACGCTGGTGGAAAATGAAACCATATCTCTTCCTCACCACGTTGTATACTGTCGGGTAGATCTCTAGTCATGGTCTGAAGCCACAAATGGGTCAAATTAGCATCTCCACCCGGATGTTGTACTCTCAGCCATGGCCCGAAGCAGGTTTCCTCAAACAATTTTCTTTGTGCAGGTGAAAGCTTCGAAGCAATTGTAGTGGCTAGGCTAACTTTATTCCTTAATGTCAATGAAGCCGAAAAAAATTTCTACAAAAACAATAAACATACCAAGTTAGATATACCAAAAACTACACTGTCAAGATATACCAAAAACAATAAACATAAATAGTAGTTTATTCTTGAAACTAAAATTTGCAACACTGTTTTGTCTTTTGGTTGAATGAAAATCGCAACGAGATAATGAGAATCGCAACGCGAAATGACTATCGCAACGAGAGAATGCGAAATGAAAATCGCAACGCGAAATGAAAATCGCAACGAGAGAATCGCAACGGGAAATGAAAATCGCAATGCGATTTTGGTTTCGCGTTGCGTTTTTTATTTCGTGTTGCGATTCTCTCGTTGCGATAGTTATTTCCGCGTTGCGATTTTCATTCTCGAAACTATTCTTCTTCTGCATTACTTCAACCAAAAGACAAAACAAAGACAAATACTAACTTCACAGGCTAAACAGTTTAGCAGTATTGGCAGCAATCGAATGAATTTAATAAGAAATCTGAGTGAAATGGTTAATCTATTATTGAAATTACCAGTAAACTTATCATCAATCTCAATATGAAAAACCTAAAATAATGCAAAAATTTCAAAATAAAAATAAAAAAAACTAACCCTCGGAGGTTGATTTTCCATTTCTGAATGATTGTGAGGGATTTTTGACTGTGAATGGTTGTGAGGGATTTCGCTGGCGATGTGGACGGAAATCTTCGGAGATGGGGACGGATTTCGCCGTAGAGAGTGAGAGATGGAGATGGGACTGAGTGTTGTGATTTTGGGTTTGAGGTTATGAGTTGCGATTACTGTGGACGGTTCAGTTTCCGATTTATTAAGAAAAAATTCGTGTTTGGAATTTGAAAAAAAAATACGCGTTAATACGAATGGCGCTATGTAAATCGCGTTGCGAAAGTCAGAATCGCGTTGCGAAAGTCAGTATCTCGTTGCAATTTTTCCAATTCGCGTTGCGATTTACTTATTCGCATTGCGAATTGGGAAAATCGCAACGACACTGTAGACCATCGCAACGCGATTTCCAACTATCGCAACGCGAAATGCAACGCGAATTTGCGATAATGGAGATCGCGTTGCGAATTAGCGATCGCATTGAGATTTTGTTGGTCATTTTGGCAAATCCGGAAAAAGTTGGTTAAAATCGTATATTATAAGGCATTTTTGGTCACTGAGGCGATTTTCTCATATATATATACATATATATTAAAAAAGCTCACAAATTACTTGATATTCAACTCGAAAGCTCATGAGTTTAAAATTGTCAAGCTCAATTTGATCTCGAAAAAATTAAAGTTAGACTCGAGCTCGAAAAAACTTGAAACATTCTCTGATTGAAGTTTAAACTCGAGTTCGAACCTTAAATACATGAAAACTTTATATTGTATTGAAAAAACATATAAATGTTAATATTATTAATAATTAAATTTGAAATTTGAAATTTAATATATATTTTTTTTTCAAGTAGCTCGCGAGCTTCACGAGTTAGGTATCAAGTAGTTCGAGTTGAGTTCGAGTTTGAACTCGAGTCTATTTGATTTGAGTGTTAATTGAACTTTGATAGAGTCAAACTGGAATATCTCGTTATCTGTCTCGTCTCATTTATAGCCTTATAGATGAGTGATGACTAAGAAAGAAATATAATAATAGAAAATTTCAATCTTATTGTTTGTTGTCTTCAATGGAATCAAAACCCTTAACATTTAACATTTAACTTTTAACTTGTCCTCAGAAGAGCGATGGGAGAACTTATCCTAATGGAATCTACTTTCATCAATTGTAATTTTCTTGAACAGTAACTTGTTTAATGGTAACATGCATTAGGTGAAACTCATGTAGTCATTTGTGACCTTTGAGTTATTTTTTAATCAATGCTTTTGTCAGGTTACTATTAAGTAAATAATGTTTTCCGACCGCCATTGATCAGTTCTGAGATCTGAGAAAAAAAAGATCAGAATACATAGAATTTTGCACTTTAGTTTCATGTGTGTGTGTGTGTGCCATCTATTTCATGAACAAAAACGTATTCACTAATGATGAACAGCTGCACGAGTGATTGGCTGATTGCCTTTCATTAATGTATTCAATGATTAACTCCAAGAAATCCAAATGGTGAGGTTTCTTTTTGCTTGATATCCTCCTGCCAAGTTAAATGGCTATGATGGAAATTTGTAGGACAAATGCAGATTAGTTTTTCGATTTTTTATCATACGCATATCTGTAATGTCCTTTGAAAAAGAGGTTCAGTTTTAGATATAGGTTCTTCCATACTGTAAAGATTATAGAAAGTTCCATATTCTTCAAAAGAGAATTGCAGCATGGACGCAAAGGAAAGGCAATCAATTAGGCACAGCTAAGATGATTAAAAGTAAAGACTTACATTCCTTTTACTGAGGCTGACGGTTAGCCACATGCACAACACTTTGATATTTCTTTTCGTAGCCTATATTCGATAGCTTAAGCATATAGTTTGATTCTTTGTTCTAATTTGTTTCATCGAAATCTTAACGCAGGACCGAAAGGGGAATCGGAGATCACCGATGATGAACTTGAACAGCATTAAGCGGTTTATCTTCTGCATTCTTTTTGACAGATACTTACCACTATGGCAATTCTTAAACCGTAAGCCGCACAAGAAGCTGATAACATCAGATCAGTACCACATAAAGAACATTATATGAGGATAACTCTGCTTTTTTGGTTCAAGTGTAACATCATGACATCATCTAGTCGGCACCATGGTCGTGTATCCTTTTTATCTTCCTAACTTTCATGGTACTCGATCCATTCTCTGATAAATTTCTTTCAAATATCTTTAACCCTTTTGCCATATGATTCACATCCTGGAAAGATTCTTGAGGTTCTTTAAGTATGGGCCAGGAACAGTGGCGGATGCATATTATTTTGAAAATGTTATTAAATTTAGTTTAACGTGTAAAGGAAAAAAGAAAAAAATACAATTTTTGCATATCCATTATTTTTAAGATTTGTTTTTTAATTTTGAATCCCATTCTTAAATTTCTGGATCCGCCACTAGTCAAGAACTTAAATTGAAAACATTGTAAAGAGTAAGTTTACAAAATGTTGAGGACTTCAATCGGTGCGAAGAACCTTTTAGTCTAATTCTTTTCAGGTTCATGTCCAAAAGGAACGTCATCAAGAACATGGGTCCAAGCCATTCGAGTATCCTTTTTCAGGGTTACACTTTATTTTCCACTCTTTCATATGAAGTTTGCAAAAGTAACTCACTGATATCATTGCAAATGTCATTCAAAAGATAAGTGTGGTAATGCACGAACCAAGCGATCTCAGTAGTTAAAAGATTGTTGTTATTCTTTGAGGTCCCAGATTTGAGTACCATGTATGCAGGGCTGTAAGCATTCATTGTCAAATGGTCGAGAGTTTTGAACAAGATAAAGGTGCTAATTATAAGTTTTCAAATATGAAATAAAAAACTCCATGAACCTTGGTAGCTTCTATATTTTCATCAGCTTCCCCTAGTCACACACATCTATAAATATAACTTCATCCCCTCAGCTCTTCCTTACCTTATTTCCCATTGACTCAGTTAACTCTTGCCTCTGTAAGGAACAAGAACATCATCCCTCTTGTATAAACCTATCAGATACTTTCTATATCTTCTGTTCATGTTCAAATTCTGATATTTGAATGTCAATTGGTTTTCAGAAAATGGATTTTCTTGGAATTTTTCTTGTATCTTCTCTTGCCATGTTGAAGACAACTCATGGACTTGGAGGCGGATGGTCCAATGCTCACGCTACCTTCTACGGAGGCGGCGATGCATCTGGTACAATGGGTAAGAACTAAGCAAATACAAAATGTATAATCACCTACTCTCCCTTTCCATGAGTCTTTTCTAAGTTACTTTTTCTGTATGCTGTAGGTGGAGCATGTGGCTATGGGAATCTTTACGGCCAAGGTTATGGCACAAACACTGCTGCATTGAGCACTGCTCTATTCAACAAAGGGCTTACTTGTGGGGCGTGCTTCGAGATGAAGTGTGTTAGCGACAATAGATGGTGTCTCCCGGGCTCTATTATAGTAACAGCAACAAACTTCTGCCCTCCGAACAACGCTCTCCGGAATAATGCAGGCGGCTGGTGTAACCCTCCGCTACGACATTTCGATCTTTCGCAACCTGTTTTCCAACATATAGCTCACTATAAAGCTGGAATAGTTCCTGTTGTATACAGAAGGTAAAAAAACACAAAATCTAGTGTCCAACATAGTCATGTCAATTTATTTCTAAAGCAACTCAACACAACTAAGTTATCATTTTGTTTGCAGGGTTGCCTGTAAGAAATCTGGTGGGATAAGGTTTACAATAAATGGACATTCATACTTCAACCTTGTGCTGATAACCAATGTCGGAGGTGCTGGAGATGTCGTGTCTGTCTCCATTAAAGGGTCTAAAACTGGTTGGCAAGTGATGCCTCGCAATTGGGGCCAAAACTGGCAAAGCAATGCCTACATGAATGGTCAAGCACTCTCTTTCAAGGTCACAACGAGCGATGGTCGCACAGTCATCTCCGATAATGTGGCTCCTACGAATTGGGCATTCGGACAAACTTTCACAGGAGGGCAATTCTAATAGTTCCCATCTTCACCTTTAAAACAAACCAAAAACCAGATGAAAAATTTGAGTCATTTCATTCCAAACAAGACCAAGCCCCTAAGGCTACAAACAATCATTAACCAAATAGTTTATAGTTTAATAGTTAGTTGTATCTGTTATAATATAATTACTACATTTATAGTGCTATAGGTTTGTAATACAGTGACAAAATATGTCATCATGGGGTACTTTTAGAAATGCCCTTAATGCTGCCATTGTGTTTTTTTTTACCATTTTTTTCAGGGATGAATGCATTGTTGTGGAATTTGATGCGAAGATGCATCAAGAAGTGATAAAGTTGGTGTGAATTTGGTCTCTACGGGGCACAGAGACCTGTCTAAATAATGTTTAAAGAGTAAGCCTTAGTTAGCATTTCCAGCGAGGATTGTATGTTTGATGTGATCTTTAGGAGTGGAATGTGTTCTGAAGAGACTTCATCTGTATTGTGTTGTATAAGATTAACGTTTGCCAATAATGATATAGCCTGCATTTTCTGTGAAGCTCAGTTGGTTATGTGTATATTGTCAAGTTTTATAAATCAATCTTAATCTTGGGATTGATTAATATTGAAATTATTAATCGACACTACAACACTTAATTTTGGTAACGACGAGTATAGTCGATTTTTAAAGAGCGAAATAGATTATAAGGTGGTTTCTTATGGCCCATTTTTATTACATTTGAATCTTGTAGGTGCGTTATGGCCCATTTTATTATATTTCAAAAAAAAATCTGAATGTATTAAGTGACTTTAGTGGTTGATGGAAGTGTGGTTCTCCCTTAAGGTCTTAGATTCGAGCATTTGTGTTTGTAGGGTGTGTGTGTATATTGTCAATAGTTAAGAAATATAACATTCAAAATTGTATAACGTCTCAGTCTCCGTCACACTGGATCTCCCAATACTTCATTAATAATTGGTCTTCACATAGATTTCTTTACTTGCTGAAATCCCCAAAAGCTCATATCCCCTTAGCATTGATCCTTAACTCAACTACAACACATAGACAAGACTTCTGTCAGATATATCATCTTACAGGTCTATGTGATGCACCATAACAAAAGTTCAAAGTCTGATTATCATATCTACTTAGCTTATCAACCTAAAATAACAATGATTGTAACATCCTAATTCGATCTGGTCCGAAGCCCGAAGGATCAAGGCGTTACATGGAATCACTTAAGTGACTAACCATTTTTTAAATACTTTAATCATATTAATCTTTTAAATCATAATTTTAAGACATGAGTATAGTAAGTTTACAAAAATGAGGAATTCCTAATAATTCATCCCAAAATAATGATAGGAATAAATACATCAAAATAGTGCTACGACTCAAATACAAGTAAGGTTAAAGAGTAATACATTACCACTAAAAACATCTAAGTCATGCTTTATTGCTGGTAATTTGGAACACAAACCAACGATAAACTCCTCGATAATCCTCCTAAGAACCTATAGACAGAAACATATTCCGAATATTGAGCTCACAAGTTTAGTGCCACATAAATAACTCTACTATACTACATACATTCATCACATGAGCATGATAACAAGTATAATCATAAGCACACAATTACATTAAATACACAAATAGGGGTAGGCATCATGGTGTGGTGGGAGGGTCACTTATTATCTTGGGATTCACACCCCTCTAGTTTATCCAATGTACTTCTTACACGGTACCTAGGGTGAGATCTGGGGTCATAAAGCATAAAAAACTACACTCGACTAGCTTACTCCTTGTGAGTACTTGGGACACATTCACCCAACTAAATTTAGATGCCTCAACACTAACTATATATCTAGATATTTTCTAACAAACAAGACGATCAAAATTACATTCGATGTTTAGAAAATTAAAACCCAACATTGATACCCCTACTTTGAGTATCAGTACTTCTTTGTGATATCGATACTCCTCGGGTATCGATACCAAATCTGATTATTGGAATTTGCAGCTTAGCGAGGGTATTGGTACCCAAAGAATAATATCAATACTCTATGAACAGAATATCAATAATACCTAGTCAAAACTCCTTATTTTAGCTACCTGAAGAAAAATATCGATACTATTCATCTAGTGTCGATACTTAAACTAAAAAATACCTTATTTCCCACGAAAAAGTCACCTAACTCATCCTTGAAGCTACTATAAGGCCCTTAAACGATACTTAAAGCTTATGAGAGTTAATGAGATCATAATAGATAATTTCTCATGCTTTGCTAACATCAAAGACATTCAAAACCATGTCCAACAAAAAATGTACTCACATGATCTATTAACTCATACAAGCAAGTCAAAAACATATAATGACCTACAAGTGGTATAGATAAGTTAGAAGTTACCTAAGTCCTAAGTCGTTGGAAACAACCCAAGGTTCAATCAAGTACAATCATCTCATGATGTTTTCTCTTAGAGCTCTCTCAAATCTCTTTCACTAGTCACAAGCAAGAAAATGGGTTACTAACTCACCTTAGAACTTAAGAGAAATAAATGCGTGATTTCTAAGATCTAGAAACAAATTAGATACATCATAGAGCCCTAAAACCCAAACCCAACTATAACCCCCTTCATGACCACCATAGCTAAACCTTGAGGTGGAGAGCTTAAATAAGAGCTCTAAGAGGAGATTATGATTCTTACCTTTATAAATCTGGACTAAGGATGTTGGATAATAAAACTCACTTTTGGAAATTTACAAGGATGAAAAGATGAGAGAAATGAGGTGAGGAATAAGACAAATGAATGAAGAAAATAATAAGAAGAATATTGCAAGTTTTGTCCTATTCTCAATCGTTAATATCATCCAAATTAAAGGGATTTCAACATTTACAACAAGAAAAGGGTTAATTACCTTCTTGGTCACTTCTTCTTTGATCTCAAATTAATAAAAAACATTTTTATAGTCATTTGAACTTCATTCAAGCCCAAATCAAATCAAACTTGACCCAAAGTTTCCTAAAGGCATATTTTTTTCATCCAAAGGTCACTCGGGTCAACCCAAACCCAAACTAATAACTTGGACATTGGGGTATTACAACTCTTTCCTCCTAAGAAGAAAATTCATCCTCAAAATTTACCTGAATAGAACATATGCAGTTACTAATGTTGCATTACCTTATCGTGTTCCCAAGTTGAGTCCTAGGTGCCATGGTTTCCCCAAAAGACTTTTACTAAGGGAATCCACTTGTTTCCCAACTTCTTGACCTCTCAAACAAAAATTCTCAACGATTCCTCTCCATAAGACTTGTCTTAACTCACTTCGATATGCTTTAACGAAGTGACATGAGAAGGGTCAGAATGGTACCTCTGAAGCATGTATACATGGAAGACGTTATGGATGCACTCCATCTTAGGTGGAAATGCCAAACAAGATGCCACCGACCCAACCATCTCAAGAATATCATAAGGTCCGATAAAGCGTGGAGTCAATTTCCCTTTTCACCCGAACCAAAAAAACTTTCTTCCAAGGGGACACCTTGAGGAACACATTGTCACCCACCTCAAACTCAATATCCTTATGCTTTAAGTTCGCATACGACCTCTGTTTGTCAAAGGCCTCTTTCAAATGACCTTGAATCAACCAAACCTTATTTTTGGTTTCTTAGATCAAGTCATGACCAACTATTTTGTCTTTCACTAAGCTCGGTCTAACACAATGGAGTTAGACACTTATGTCGTAAAGATGTTTATTGAGAGTCATCTGAATACTTGACTGATAACTATTATTGTAGGCAAACTCCACTAATAATAAGAGATCCTCCCAACTACTCTTGGGGTATATAATGCAACACCAAAACATGTCCTTTAAGATTTAAATCACACACTTGGAATGTCTATCGGTCCATGTGTGGAAAGTGGTACTGAAATGTAATTGGTTGCATAAGGTTTCATGAAGCACTCCCTAAAATTGTGGGGTAAACCACGAGTCTCTATCTGAGATAATCAAAGTTGACACTCCATACAACCTTAAAATTTCGTAGATATACAACTGAGCCACTCTACTAAGGTTAAGTCTATCCAAACAGGAAGAAAATGGGTTGTCTTCGTCGAACACTCTACCACAACCCATACTATGTCATGCCTCTGTCTAGTCATCAGTAACCCAGTGACGAAGTCTATAGCCATTTTATCCTTTTTTCATTGGGATATGTGGATAGCCTAAGCAATCATGAATGAACCTGATATTCTGCCTTGACCTATTGACAAACTAAACACCTAACGATGAACTCATATACTTATACTTTCATATATGACCATAAATACAACTGTTAAACCTCGTGATATATTTTATTACTATAAGGATGAATGAAGAATCCTACTATACAACTATTTATCTGTAAGTACACACAATTGATCCCTATAGTATAACACACCTCTATCTTGTAACTCAAACCTGGTGTCACACTTTGACGAAATCGCTCCACTCGAGCCCTCAAACTGATCATCGAACTTTGTAATCTTCCTACTTCACCCAACTTCTATAGATCGACTCGCAGCTCAACTAAAAATCCTCCATTATTGGTTAGGATCAGATGTGTTAACAATGCTCACAAATCCAATATTGATTTCCTACTCAAAGTATTTGCAACCATATTCATCTTTTTTGGGTGATAGTCTATAACACAATCATAATCCTTCAATAACTCAACTCACATATGTTGTCTCAAATTCAACTCATTTTGCGTAAGTAGGTATTTAAGGCTTTTGAAATTAGTGAAATTGTAACACTTCTTCTCAAATAGGTAGTTCTTTAAATTTATATAGCGAAGACAACCACAACAAGCTTTAAGTCATTGGTATGGTAGTTGTGTTCACGTGTCTTGAGTTGGTGGGATGCATAATCGTAAATTTTTCTTTTTGTATCAGAACACACCTTAACCCATTTAATGAGGCTTCACTAAATACGGTGAAATTCTTAACCCACTCCAGCTGAGTCAAAATAGAGGCATGAGTTAAAATGACCTTTAATTGATCAAAGCTCTTATGCCGCCTCTTGTCCCACATAAAAAGAACTTCACTTTGAAGTAATTTGGTCATAGAGGTAGCTATCATAGAGAAACTTTTAACAAACTGAAGATAGTACTCGACAAAAACTACTATATGAATCTTTTAAGGGTCAACTTGAATGTCGGTCATTGCTACGACATGACATAAGAACAAAACCTCTGACATATAAAACTTATATTTTTCAAATTAGGCATACAATTGGTGTTGCTAAAGTGTCAGCACTACAATACATAGGTATTGGTCATGTTCCTCATCTAACTGTAAGTACACAAGGATGTCATCGATGAATACCACCATAAATTGGTCAAGGTATGGGTGGAAGACTCGATTCAACAAGTCCATAAATACTGTTAGGGTGTTGGTGAGTCCAACGACATCACCAAGAATTTATAGTGACCATTATGAGTTCTAAAAGTCATCATCACAAAATTAGTGCTCCCCATGTTGATTTTTTTAAAATCCATAGGGATATACTTAGTTAGATGAAA